GAGGACTATGGACTATTGGTATTTGGTGGGGATATGTTATTTTGGTTTTTCATGTTATTATTTTTTTCTCTGTGATTTTGACATGTGGATTTCTTCTGTAGTTTCTGATTGTTGTGTGAGACCCAAGCCTTCAAGTTTAGGTCTGCTTCTTTTTGTGAACTTTATGTGTCTTTGTGGTTTACTTTTTGAGCATGAAAAGCTGGTTCATCTAAGCTTCTGGTTCTCTCTTTTGATTTTATATTGGAGTGGTCAGATTACTTTTGTCTTCAGGAGTTCCCACAGAGGCCCAAGTCAGATGAACATCACATGCTCTCAGGCTTTCTAAGGTCTGGATCCCTTCAGGAAATATTTTGGCCTCAGGAATTTGGGGGTTGGACTGGCCTGGGAGCTGGGCACTGGAAAGATGTTGGTCTAGGGCAGCTGGTGGCCGTACCACCCAGAGATGCCAAGGCAGATGGGGGCAGGAAGCGGCCCCAAGGCCCCTGGGCACTGCACTGAGGAGATGGGTTGGTCTGGATGCAAAGGATCAGGAAGAGGAAAGGTCAGCCCTAGCATCCAGGAAAGAGGCTGGCAGGTGGTGCAGGCCCAGGGAAGCAGAGGGAGGTGAGTGCATGGCCAGGTTCAGAAGCAGTGCTCCTGGGGACCAGAGAAACACTGAGTTGGTCTGGATGAAAAGGATCTGGAAGCAGTAGTGGTTCCCCAGGGGTCTGGGACCCCACAACAAGGAATTGGACAGAACCCAAACTAGGAGGAGAGACCGGTGGGGGAGATGGGAGGGTGAATGAGGCTGGGGGAGTCAAGGCTCGGGGGGTGTGATGGACCCACCCCAGAGAGAGCCTGTGGGTTGGAGAGAGGCCTGTGGATCCTGCAGGCCCAGGGGTCCTCTCATGTCTTTTATGGCTCTGGATTGCATTTAGTTATGGATGTGGTGCTCTCTGCTCAGCAAGTGGCTGCACCAATAAGAAATGAATCTCCCTCAGTTAGCAACTATTAACTGCCAATTGTTTAGTGTATTAGTTACTTTTCTGTTGCTGTGATAAAACACCATGACCAAGGCAATTTATAGAAGGAAGACTTTATATGGTTTATGGTTCCAGAGGGATGAGAGGCCATGACGGTGGGACAGGCATGGCAGGAGGCATCAGGAGCAGAAAGTCGAGCACTCACATTTTCAAGCAGGCACAGGAAGCAGAAACAGATTGAAAGTGTGACTCTCAAAGCCCACCCTCAATGATGTGCTTCCTCCATCATGGCCACACCTCTTAAAGGTTCCATGACCTCCCCAAACAATGCCGTGAACTGGGGGCCAAGTGTTCCAGTACTTGGAGCACATGGGGGACATTTTCATTCAAACCACTACACTTAGGGATTGATAAGGCCTTAAATGTAAGTGTCCCTCCCTCATCCATGATGGGCCCAGTGTAGTGCAGGTAGCTACTGCTAATGTGAGTCCATGAGCCATGTCATGTCCAGAAGACAGCTTTTCCTGGCACTCAGTCCTAGCCTTTGGCTCTTACATTCTTTCTGTCCTCTCTCCCATAATGTTCATGGAGGGTTGGAGGGTTTGATACAGATATCCTGTTTAGGTCTGAGCATTCAATAGTCACATATTCTCAGCACTTTGACCAGTTACAAGTTTCCGTATTTACTACCCAGTACAAACAGAAGCTTCTCTGACCAAGGTCCATAGAAGCACTAATATGTGAGCATATCATAAAATTTTAGCAGTTTGACACCAAGTCCAATTAACAATTCAGCCATAGTAAGTCTCCCCATTTAGGATGTATGACCTTCTAGTTATGGACTTTGGTGAGGTTTACAATACCAGGCATGAATTCACCCTGTGTATCAGACCTCAAATCCAACCAGAAAGTGATTGGTGACTCTGATACTGCATTCTGCCTGTCACGTTGGTATTGTTTCTTGTAGGCTTAACAACTGGTTAAGACCATTGATACCTTTTCTTTCCCAGCAGATTGCATAGCACCTTCCAGCACTCTGAAATCGAGGCAGCAGGGAAGAAACTTTGAGCTCAGTTCTAGTTTGATTTCTCTGTTTTGCAATGAAAGTATGTGCTGTCTTCAGCCATAGAGTACTACTGTCTAGTTCTTATGGGCAGTCATGAGCAACAACAACAGCCTGTATTGTTTTGAGGCCCTTAGTGGAGCCTCCTTGACCAGCAACTTGTAAGGAGGTATTGCAAACTTGGCTTTGGGGTTTTGTCTAATAATACATGGCCTTCGCAGCAACAATACCTATCTATACAGGGCACATCCCTTCAAACTCTTTTTAAAATCATATTTTAAAATTAGCTTATGAAACAGTAGATTTCCATATGACTTTTTCATATAGTTTTAATTGTGGTAACTCTCTCTCCAACCCGTTACTCTCACCCATCCCCCAATTCCCTTCTCTGATTAAACCTTTCCACCCCTAGTATACTTCACTAATTTCATGTCATATGTGTTCTCACACCTTCCTCATCCAGTACCTCTTCCTAGCTTCCTGGCCTCTATAGGGACCTCAAGATAAACACAGAAACCTTAAACTTTGAAGCTAGGGGCCAGTGAACTGGCTCAGCAGCTTGCTTGTCATCAAGCCTGATGATCTGAGTTAGATCACCAAGACCCACAGACCCAATGGAGAGAACTGACTCCTGAAACTGCATAACTCTAAAATTTTCAAGACATGCTGCTTCTTTAATAGATTAAAAATATTCTATTCATTATTTTTATGTGTAGGAGTGCATTGCCTGCATGTGTGTAAGTGCACCAGTGTCATGCAATGCCTGTGGAAATCAGAAGATGCCAGATTCCCTGGAACTGGAGTTATAGATATTTGTTAGCTGCCATGTGGGTGCTGGGAATCAAACCTGGGTCCTTTGCAGGAGCAGTCAGTGCTCTTAACTGCTGAGCCATCTCTCCAGCCTCTTGCTTCTTTAATATATTTTAAAGAGCTTACATAATTTTGTGTCCCACTTGATTTCAGTTAGGTAAATATATTTTTCAGGGTCTGTTTATGTACTTTAGGCTGGCTTTGAACTTGTGATTCCCTTAAATAAGCCTCCCCAGTGGTGGGATTACAGATATGTGCTATGATGCTTGGCTTTTAATTTTTTTGTTTTTACTGATATTTTTACCCTTAATTTTTCTTGACTGTGTATATATGCTATATTGTTTTTAAAAAAGATATATTTTTATTTTATGTGTATGAGCCTATATGTGCCATGTGCATTCACTGCCCACAGAAGCCAGAAGAGGGCGTTGGATGTTCTGGAACTAGAGTAACAGATGGCTGTGAACCACCATGTTGGGTTGGGAACCAAACCCTGATCTTCTGAAAAAGCAGCCAGTGCTCTTTAGTGCTGAGCTGTCTCTCCAGACCCCATGTTTTGTTTTTCAATTAAAATTGTGCTGATTTCTGTTTTTCATATTTTACCTCAGGTGTAATGTCTCTGCTGAGGCCTCTTCTTCTAGATGTGGTCCCAACGATTCAACAGACTGCTGCTTTGGCTCTGGGAAGACTGGCCAATTACAACGATGATTTAGCAGAAGCCGTTGTGAAGGGAGACATTCTCCCACAGCTTGTTTATTCATTGGCAGAACAGAATGTAAGAACTATTCCACAGTAACTTATGTACATTGTTTTAAATTTAAAAATGGACAGTTTTGGCACAGTTTAAGTCTTGAAAGCATTAAAGTTACTAGATTGCAAATAAACCTCAAAGTTTCTGAACTGTGTACAAGAATGTCTTTAGGGTATTTTTCTTTGGGGTGGATGTGCAGCTTTCTCCATTGTTGTTAGTTTATGGGGACTCTGTAAAAGAATTTCAAAGAATTATATAAAGAAATATGACTGTGTGTGGGAACTTTATAGAAAACTGTAGGATCTATCTGTGGGAAGTACATTAGACCCCAGGCAAATAAATAGTTGCATTCAGCAATCCTTATCTGCAGGTGAAATATGGTTAATGGAAAGAGTAAGTAAGAGACAGTCTTGAAGGGAGGGAATATATTTAATGGAACATTTGATAAGTCATTTCTTACTAAGTAAATAAGCATTTCAACTCATCTAAAAGCACTCTCTGAAAATCTTCCAAATTCTTTTCTCTGATGCTGTTCTATGTTTCCATATAGTTAAGGATTCTACAAGTAATTTTTAGACTACGCATTATACTCTACTAGTTTATCTTAACCTAGGTATATACCTTTTCTGACATCTTTAAGACTAAATCCCAACTTGCATAATAAAAGCACAACACAATTGAAAATATGGGCAAAAGACTTGAACAGATATTATCCAAAAGAATATCTATAAATGGCCAGTAAGCATATGAAAAAACCTTAACATCACTAGCCATTAAGAGATGCAAACACTTTTTATAATGCATATGTATATAATTTAAGAACTTCTATCTTGGTAGGTTTCCATATGGCTTTTTCTAAAGGCCTTTAGTGTTACTCATTCTCCCCATACTCTCTCTTCTGCCACGCCCTCCCATTTCCTACTCCACTCAATCCTTCCTAGTCTAATGTCCCCCGTTACCCCTCCATATCATTGCACTCTGCCACCTCTCCAAGGAAACCTCCCACCCCATGGCCATATATTACTTTCCTGACATCTCTGGATTTAAAAAAAATTAATATTTGAAATTTTATGTATATGAGTGTATTGCCTGCATGTGTGTAAGTGCACCTGTGTCGTGCAATGCCTGTGGAGGTCAGAAGAGGATGTCAGATCCCCTGGAACTGGAGTTATGAATGGTTGTTAGCTGCCATGTGGTGCTGGGAATTGAACCTGGGTCCTCCGCAAGAGCAGTCAGTGCTCTTAACCACTGATCTATCTCTCCAGTCCATGGATTATCAGATTGAAACATCTATATGTAAGATTTCAAAGCTAGTGTCTAGCTATGAGAGAGACTGTGTGACGTTTGTCTTTCTGGGTTTGGGTTACTTCACTCAGGATGATTGTTTCCAGTTTCATCCATTTACCTGCAAGTTTTGTAATTTGAAGTTTTTTTTTAATGCTGAATAATATTCCACTGTGTATATGTACCACACCTTCCATTATCCTTGAATTTTCTGCCAGTTCCTTCATAGGGGTATTATGACCTTGGAGAGTCCTGGTAATGGTCCCATTTGGAGCTGCGTTGTTAGGGATGAAAGTGCTGCAATATTACACAGACTTAACGTTTTTCAGCTAAAGTCATGTCTAACACCAACCTATTTTCCCAAGCCACTTTGCTAATAGGGATCAGTTGTTCAGCTATTCCCTGGACAGAGTTTTGAATATAGTTTGCACACATTTGTTGGTTGTAATAAATATAGTTGATCCAATCTAAATTTTTAAATATATTTTATTTATTATTTTTATTTTATGTGTATGAGTGTATTTTCCTGCATGTTTTTGAGTGTACCCGTGTCGTGCAGTGCTGCAGAGGTCAGAAGAGGGCTTTGGATTCCCCTGGAACTGGGTTTAAGGATGGTTCGTAGCCTCCATGTGGGTGCTGGGAATTGAACCCAGGTCCTCTGTGAGAGCAGTCAGTGCTCTTAACTGCTGAGCCATCTCTCCAGCCCCAATCTACATTTTTATTGACAGTTCACTACCAGATCAAGCCTGACTTGAAGCTGGCTATTACTTGGTTTTGAGCTTTAAATTCATTTGGGACTTCCTGGACCACTCCTGTGGCATCCATAGAAATATAGAAGCCAGATAAGCCTCCTGGAATTGAGTTTTCTTTTCTGGTGGAAGGGGCTTTGTGGTGGGTTGGAGTGTCCAAATGCCATAATCAAAGAGATGGCCAATTGAACTAAAGTACAAGGCTCATTCCAATAGATTGGTAGGACTTCAAATAAGGGTCCTCCATGATACCACCAGACATCTGCTTACGAGATCACCAGGGCTGACTGGTTGGTCATCTCTTCAAAAGATTGTGCTTCACTGCACCCTGTGATATTGCCTACTACAATGAGGACCCTGACTGGGTGGGGATTAAGGACACATATAGAGATCATAATGTCAGAGTTGTCTATGATGGTGTAAATCTTTGTTTCCAGATGGGAAGGTGAGGCAAACATCAAATTTTAACAGTTAGAGGAGAACTAGTCTCAGTTACATCAGTAGCAAAAATACTATTGGTTTCCTGTGTTAAAACAAGAGACCCACACCTTTGTGCCACCATCTCTGTTCTGTTAGGACCCTTGTGGACCTCCAGATCTAGGAGGTTTCCAGGACTTCCCTTGATAAATGCATCTCTTACCTCTCAGCAGAGAAGCTTCCTTATATAGCAAATGATTAACGTAGAGTACCACAGAGAACTGGCCAATATGTGGAGAATAAGAGGCTACAGATTGCTTATCCATGAATAGGACACCTGTATCAAATTTCTACCTCTCAAGGCTCAGGAATCATTGTGTAACAGGGGGCAGAAAGACCATAAGAGCCAGAAGAGGTGGAAGACCACAAAGAAACAGTTTTCCAGACAGCTGGTCAGTTACTTGTATAAACTCACAGCAATGGTGACAGTATGCACAAGTCCCACATAATCTCAAGCCAGACAAAATCCCAGCATAGAATGTGGGGAAGGTGGTAAGAAACCCCGACCCTACCCGAGGAACTATTGACAACAGATGGCTGATGGGAAGGGGACATTAAGTCTCATTAAGGGTAAGACTCTTGGTAGGTTGATCAGGCTGGAGTGGGTGAACCTACACTGAGGGGCATTTGGAGACACACACCTGACTCAATAGACATTAAGATACATATTAGAGTATAGGACATTTGGTGGGGGCTAAGAAGGAGGGGTTAAAGATACAGGAGGGGAATCTAAATATGATAAAATATATATTGCATGAAATTCACAAAAATTCAATTAAAAATGAAAAACAAAACAAAACAAAGAAAAAAATAAACAAGAGTCCTAGCAGAGTCTCTTTAAAGTGAATCCATGGAAATCAAGGTGACAGTTTTTTATATTTTAGAATATCCTAAGTTCAAAATGGCATCAGATTGTTAATGACAAGAAAGGAGCAGGGACACAAGAATTGCAAATATAGTAGCAGACACGATACTAAAATGCGCAGACAGCAGGTTGAGAATGACACTGGGAGGAAAGTTCCTGGGGCTTATTAGGGAATATTTGTTTCTTTAGCATCAGTTTTAAAGGTTGATCAGTTGCTTTCTGTGTGTTCCAAGGAGCTTGGCCAGTTTCGGTAGAAGTCCCACTGATTGTGGGTGATTTCTTGGTCTGAGGGTAGTGTGTCCAACTTCTTTCGGCAGTATGCATGGCAGTTTCAGTGGTGAGTGGTACTTGGTGGGGTCTTTTCCATATGGGTTCAAGTTTTCCTTCTTTCTAGGATTTGATCAAGACATAATTACCCAGAGGGTACTGATGTGTAGGAAACTTGAGCGGCAGTGTTTGAGCTAATAGGCCCAGCTGCCAAGAGGAAAGAGTGTAAGACACTTCAAATACATACTCTCTGAGAAACTGGTCCTTGGCTTCAAAGGACAGAGTACTTCCAGTGACACTCAGATAAGGTAAACCATAGAGCATCTTATGCAGTGATAGCCCTATGTTTTTTGAGGAGCAGTCCCAATTATTAGGAGGGCAATGGGGAGGATAATTTTGTTTAAAGTATTAATTTGGCCAAATGTCTTTAAAGTATGATCCATACTTTCTACTCTCCCAGAGGAGAGGGTTCCAGGGGTTGTGAGAGTCTCATTTTACTTCAAGTGTTTAGGTGAGTTCTCTGGCAGTGGTCACAATGGCCCCCATTATCTGAGTCAATGTTTTAGATTATTCCAAATCTAGGTATTGTATTTCCTAAAAGTACTTTGATTACATTATTAGCAGTGACAACAGGTAGAGGTATCACCTAGACTCTGTGAGTTAAGTGATCAATTATTACCAGTAAATATCTTAAGCAGCCAACTTTTGACATTTCTGTATAGTCAGCCTCAGCCTTGGATTTCTCACTCCAGGAAGCTGTTGTCTCAGGGCTTATGTATTTTAGAACAAGTAAGGAATCCTTGGACTACTTATTTAGCTAGGATATAAAAACCCATGCACCTATACATTCTAAGGATAGCATCATGTATGACTTTTCTGGTATAGATGACGTAATAGTTTATGCATAAAGGGCTTAGATAACATTTCCCATCCATCTTTAATATCCATTTCCCATCTTCATCTTGGAGGCCCCAGTCTTGGTCAATTGTTTCTCTTCCTTAGGGGTAAATAGTGGGGAACTTAGGATAGGAGGAATAATGGGGTAAGATGGAAAAGAGGAAACTACTCCTCTAAGATGTCCTTTGAAGCAACTTTATCTGCCGGATTTTTACCCTGAATTTCAGTAGAGTGTCCCTTTTGGTGCCCAGGGACATTTACTATTGCAATTTCTTCAGGCAGCATAAAGTTATCTAGAATCTGAGTGATAAATTCCTTTGATGTTAATCAGACCCTATTTGGTTGAGATCTTACCAAAGGTGTGTACTATGCAAAGGCATATTTGGAATCGGTATAGATGTTTACTTCTTGACCTTTAAGATATTTCAAAGCCTAGTTTAAAGCAAATAGTTCAAAGGCCTGTGATGACCAGTAATTTGTTAATCTCCCTGATTCTATGATACTGAGGCATTCCCCATCCACTCCAGCATAGTTGTTATACCTCTTGAGAGTTGATCAGAGGTTCAACCCCTACTTCTATGGAGGTTTCTTGTACTCTGATTCCAAACACTCAGTCCATTTCAGACTGATTCCCTTGTGGGGCAGTATCATATGTTTGGTGCTTCTTAGCAATAGGCAGATAGAAACAAATCTCCAACTAGGTCCAAAGCACCGCCAGAAAGCCTTATGAAGTCACCAGAATATCTGCAGAACTGTGGATTGGGATTCCACACTTAAGCCAGCAACACTTACCAGCCATCACATTCTACCTCCAGGATGACTCAACCACCAAGGAGTATTTTGCTGTCACCACAGTGCTTCCTACCTTAGTCTCTGAAAAGCTGCCTGATTGTCACAGTGCTTGCTTGGGTTCTTCCCTGTATTGTCAAGAAATCCCAATTCTGGGTTTCTTCAACCAGCCTGGGGAGCATCCAAGACTCAGTGCTTAGGGACCACCACAGAAGGCCACAGAATGAGTCTTCCTCAGAGGGTCTGAGTGCATCCTTGAATGGGCTAGGTTCCTGGACCTGCCCCCAAGATTTTAGAGACAAAATTGGAGACACAAATTAAGGGACCACCACTCAAAATATCTCAGCAAGGCACACGTTCTTCAGAGAAAGGGCACACAGCTGCCAAAAAACTGGAAAGTAAGCACACATAGCCAAAGTGATGTTTGCCTTTTATCCCTAACACGAGCACACTTGTCAGTTCCTCATTGGCTGAAGTCCATCCTTATAATCTACATTTGATTTGGCTAGTTTGAAAAATAGCACGAAAGGAAAGAAAGGATGCAGGGAGAAAGTGTGTGTGTGGGGTTAACAGCTAAGCATTCCAGGAAGCAGATTACATCTGGTTGAAAAAAAATGGGCATTCCTTAATAAAGGAACTAATGGGGTAAGGGTGATATGAGGGGAAATTATAAACTTGTTTGATAGAAAAGATGGAGTCTTGGTCTGGACAGATGGCTCAGTGGTGAAGAACATGTACAGCTCTTGTAGAGCACAAGAATTTGGTTCCCAGCACCCATGTTAGGGGGTTCATAGCCATCTGTAGCTCCAATTTCTCATTCCTTAAAAAATAAAACATATGTAGACCATGTAAATATGAAACAGTATTTTAATTTTCAATTCACATAATAATTTGTTTGTTTTGTTTTGTTTTGTTTTGCTTTTTGTTTAGATGAGGTCTCACTATATAGCCCCAGGTGGCCTGGATCTCACAGAGCTCCTCCAGCCTCTGTCTCTGAAGTGCTAGGATTAAAAGCATGTATACCATGCCCAGCTTGTTTTTAAGTTAAAAAAACTCCTAGAGGGGTCAAAAACATATTATACTGTTTAGCTTATTTTTTTTTTTTACCAGGAGAAATTTAAAAAACTATGACTCTTTTACCTTCATGTTTATATGGTGATTGCAAATGCATCTTGGAACATGAATGTTATTTCAGGATAACATGGATATTATTTCAGGATAACATGGGGCACCAGAAAGATTAATTGAGGTCATGGAAATTCTGCCATGCTTGGAGACTGAAGGATGGTAGAGGAAATAAATTAGTCAGCTGATCATATAGTCACA